CGTACCGAAAAGGATCAACAAAAATCTAGGTACCCAATTACCCTCCTTTGCGCAAGTTACTACTCAAAGAATACCACGACGTTCTATACGCTGGACACTTCGGTAGCAACAAGATGCTGATCAGTATCGCGAAGCACTACTACTGGCCCCACTTGGCGGAAGATGTTCAGAAATTCGTCACCTCGTGTGATACATGTCAACAGATGAAGAGCAGCAAGCAGAAGAAGGCGGGACTGCTACAACCTCTTCCTGTACCAGAACAACCATTGCAAGTGGTTAGCCTAGATTTCATCACCGGGTTACCACCTACCACCAGTGGTCATGACGCAATCCTTGTCGTCATCGACAAATTCTCCAAAATGGGACACTTCATCCCGACACACACGACAGCACGCACCGAGGAGACATCACAACTCTTCATACGGTACATCATCTCACGACATGGCATTCCAACCACTCTCATCTCCGACCGAGACCCCAAGTTCACCAGCAAGTTCTGGAAGGAACTAATGTCTCTGCTCGGGACCAAACTCGCCATGTCATCCGCCTACCATCTGCAGACAGATGGACAGACCGAGCGCCTCAACCAGATTGTTGAGCAACTTCTCCGAGCAGCCTGCAAGGACGAGATCTCCAAATGGGACTTGCACCTGCCCGTTCTCGAGTTCGCTTACAACAACGCTACACATGCCGCTACTGGTCAGACGCCGTTCTTCCTCTACTACGGACGCCACCCACTCACACCACAGAAACCAACAGCATCAGCGACAGTCCAACCTGCACACGATTTCATCACGACCATGCATCAACTTTGGGATCGGACCCACAAGCGCCTCCTCGACATTCAGCAGCAACAGAAGCGCCAGGCCGATCGCCACCGCAGCGACCACACCATCACCGTGGGAGACCAGGTGCTCCTTGACACCCGCAACCTTGACCTCGCTTCTGTGCGCCTTTTCTCGTTGAAGCACAGGTCACTCCTGTTACCTTCCGCTTACGCCTACCAGCTACCTGGAAGATTCACAACGCCTTCCATGTCCAACTTCTGAAGCCCTATCGGGATCCGAACGCGATCTTCGTCAGACGCCAACCACCGCCGCCACCGCCCGTCCTCGTCCAGAATGAAATAGAGTACGAGGTCGAGTCCGTGCTTGCACACCGCCGTCGTCGGAATGGCACCTTGGAATTTCTTATTCGTTGGACGGGTTATGATCCTTCTGAGGACAGCTGGGCCCCTGAGACCACCATGGGTAACGCACGTCGTCCTCTGCATGACTACCTTATCAAGCAGGGTATTACTTCTACCACCCAGCTTTGAGGGGGGGAACTGTGAGAGTCCGACCCCGTTATACCACTTTACTTTCCATGTTTCATTTCCATTTCATTCCTCCTTTTTCTCCTTTTTTACTTGGTCTTTATCTCATCTCAATTGGTTTCCTATTCCTCATTCCCCATTATCCTTTGGTTTATCCTGTTATCATAATTATATCACCGACCAGGCTTGGGATGTACTGGGGCGCTCTATCTAGCGTAATCCTGTCATAATCCCTTAAAATCAATAGCCTCGCGTGGCTATACGCAGAGTAATTCTATTTCTAGAAGGGTCTATTCCCTTTGGATAGGATAAACCTGGTTACCTGATGTACTCTGGAGGTATAAAATCGCCTTGTACTGATCGATAGTGCAATCTTTCCTCGACACATTCGATCCTGTGACAGGTGCCAAGGACCTTACAGAGGCGCCGCACAGCCTCACCCCTTGAAAGCCAGTGCACGGTGTGAATTCCTTGCACTTCACGGTTGGTGTTGTGTATTGCCCACTGCAGGTACTTGAAGTGTCGACTCCAGACACATGAACATCCTAGAAGATCGGCCAGAGTCCGAATCACAAGGTCGACCATGTCGAAGTCTGGAGAAGCAGTGGCCGCGTCCTTCACCGCCAAGGCTTCCCTGCATGGTGCATACAAAGGAATTTTAGTCAAGCAGTTGTAGGAACCCTAAGCGACTGAAATGACAAGCGGTTAAACCTGTGCGCGATGCAGTGGGACGAGACGAGATGGGGGATGTGCTCGCGAAGTCGGGCGACGAGACTATTGTCTCGGCCGACCATGACAGAGGCGCCGTCGGTGCTCATGCCGGTGATTCGGGAGAGGTCGATGCCAGTTGCTCGCAAGTGAGCCAGAAGAACAGCGAGGAGAGACGCGAGATGAGAAATTGGCGCGACGAAAGTGGACGAGAAACAAGAATGGAGCATCTCGTATCTGCGATGTGAAGAAAAGGAGGAAACTGGGTTGGAGGAGAAGCTGGTGAAGAAGATGGGAAGGGGACCAAGAAACCCCAGATTTCGATTTTCATGAACGGTGCATAACCCATCCAAGATCCCGCATCGCCATGGCGATACCGTCAACGGCGGGACGCACCTGCGCTGGCATCGTCTGCATAGAGATGATTGGTGCTGCAATGTCATACAGAGGCTGACATTGCAGCGCTCAGCATATTCTGTCCTCGTCTGCTGTGTGCTGAGTCATGAATGCCAGGTTGGGGCATGACGGAGTGCACCATCCCACACTTAACGGTTGCAAATGTTGCTGAAATGGCAACATACAGCATGTACACGGCGGGAATGTTGCCAAGTGCAGATTCTCCACGTAACGCATGCTGGGCGTATTCAATGGACTGGGACCCGTCACGCGTAAGGGGGCCATTTCGCCGAAACTCAGGGTCCGCATGGGTGTCGCATTCAGGGTTCGTACGCGTTACTCTCTGAAAACTAAGTTCTGGGATAACGCAAACCCTGAAATTCTAAGTGTTCACAGACATACAACCCTAAAGAGGTTAGGGTTAAAAAAAACCCAACCCTGAAAATTAAGGGTTGGCAAAAAAAATACCCTGTGAAATCAGAGAATCGGAGTAAAATACCCTGATAACGACAGGCCTGGAAAGGACTCCTCCTATAAAACTGTTAAGATTATATAAGTTATATATAATTGATAGGCTTGGTAGTTGTTACTAAACCTTTCTGTAGAGGGTACAATCCCCTCCTTGTACCTCTCTCTCTTCCTAATCGAACGCTCTTCTTTCTCGACTTTGCTCCTCTCATTCCTATATCTACTTTCCTCCCGCCATTCCATGGCGGCCTTTCCTAGTATCCTAGCTTCCTAGCCAAGCTAGTGTCCTAAGTTTGAGATGGTATCAGAGCAGGCCGTTTCTGGGCCTGCTCCCGACGTTTCCGCTGCGCTCTTTCACCGTTCGCGTATGAGCCGCTGTCGCGGCCCTTCATTATCCTGCTGCCGTGGCGGCCTTCTACTGACGCGCCATCGTGACGGCTTCTCGTCTTCGCGCCGCTGTGACGGCCGTTACGAGATGCCGCCACGGGCTCATGGTGAAGCCGTCGCCCGTCTGCCTTGCCGCTGCGGCATTGACGTCGCGCTGTGCCGGCGTCTAGGGCAGCCGACGGCATCGTCGGGCTGCGGCCGGCCAAGCGACGTCTGTGGCGCCGCCGGACCTGCTGCCCGCTTGCCAGTCACGGGCGTCACTCAGGACGCCGTCCTCCCGCCAGTAAGCGCCGTGCCATTTATGGCGCGTCGCTGAAGACTCGTCCCTTCCCCCTGCATCTTCCCTTCTTCCTGTCGCAGCTGCTGTCTTCTGCCCGGACGTTGTCACACCGCCGAGAGCCCTCAGCCGCGGCAGTCGCTGCCTGCCGTCAGCAACACAGTCGCCTTGAGCCAGAGCTCCGCCGCTGCTTGTCGCTGAGCCGCCCAGACGCCGTAGGCTGCCTCTCGCCCGGGGGTGTCAACGCTTAGCACGAGGGTCAGATACCCGGCTAAGCACGAGCTTGAGGGTGTGCGGGGTGGAGAGGTGTGTTGGGTGGGTGTGTGACTACCAAGCCTAGGGGGTGTATTAAGATTATATAAGTTATATATAATTGATAGGCTTGGTAGTTGTTACTGAACCTTTCTGTAGAGGGTACAATCCCCTCCTTGTACCTCTCTCTCTTCCTAATCGAACGCTCTTCTTTCTCAACTTTGCTCCTCTCATTCCTAGATCTACTTTCCTCCCGCCATTCCATGGCGGCCTTTCCTAGTACCCTAGCTTCCTAGCCAAGCAAGTGTCCTAAGTTTGAGAAAAACATGAAGCAGTGCGTTTCAGACAGATGAGGAAGGAACGATGGGAGAAGAAGGGAGACATCAAACCCGTGTCGCACCTTTCTTGAAAGGCGCTACGCGGTCTTCGAGCATGTCCTTGCACAACCCAACACCATGCAGCCATCGACGTGTTGGCTGCATTTGCAGGCAATCGAGTAGTTGCCAAACCTATGGAAGGCTGGCAGATAGGGTTTGGGGCCCGAGTTTCACGCATGCACAGAGAGCGTCAGAGCAGAATCTGCGGTCCTTAGAGGTTTGGCGTGGAAGCATTATGCCGCGCTGCGTGAGAAAGTGCCCACTGTGGGCAGAGTACACGTTGGACTTGGCGGGATTTCCTGCTTAGTGTGGATTCTGCACATGACGCGGGCGGGAAGCACTGATGGCGCGAGAAATTTCGTGGGAACCTGCGGACTCCAACGATGTCGGTTTCAGGGTCCGTATGCGCTGCACTCTGGAAACTCTGTACTGGCTTAGCGTCATGTCTGAATTGTTCAGGATCCCCAAAAACTTACTCTGAATCAATCAGGACTGGGAAAATGAGTTATCTGGAAATTCAGGTTTGCACATTACACCGGTCTGAGATTTCAGACTAACCAGAGTAAATAGTCTGATAACGTCACCCCTGGTTATGAGATGCAGAATGAGATAAATTTAATTCTGTTCATAGAGGAAACTGGTTGGTTGTGATGTATCGCTCCCTCCAATATAGAGGAGTTCTATTATGCTTCGGGTACACGTGGTCCTCTGAGGTGCCAGAACATCCAAGTCTGCTGCAACGTGGCACGCCGATGTGGCCCCGATTGGATGCTCCTACATTACACCTCGATTGCACTGCTCGTAGAGCACTGCAACGCTCTGAAACACCTTGAAGGCTATTCCAACACACGGCCTCCCAACCCAAATTACCTGAGACTTTCAGATTACCTCAGCCAAGCTAAGCACCAAGTTCATCTAGCAGTTCGATCAGTCCGCGCCGCCCGTTAAAAAAAACTCGCAAAATGGCCGCCGCAGTCACCAGCGCCTCCCTGCGCGCCGCTCTGGCCGCGCGCCTCCCGCGCATCGCTGCCTCCGCCTCTGTCCAGTCCGCTTCCGCGTCCGCCAGCCTGCTTCCACGCGCTACGCGCCAGTTGAGGCAGGACGGCGGCAGACGGGCCTCGCATGTCGTGTCAGCTAGCGCTGCTGCCGAGGGATCGGCTGATGGCTCCGTATCTGTAGCCGCAGCGCCGGACGCCGCTCCTGCTGCTACCACCCCTGGTGGGTTAATCATCAGTGTTCGCAAAATGACATTTGCTGCCTTAGGGCGGTTACTCCTGGGTACCTTGGGTGTGCGCTTTGGACGCGTACTGCGCGCGTGGAAGCATTCCGAGGTGGACGGCCTGTATGGTGACCTCTCTCTTCTCCCCTTTCCCGTGCGCAGATGTGTGCAGCCTAGCTGAAAGACTGGAGCTGCGCTTGGGGCGCATTATCAAGGCGTGGAAGCACCCCGAGGCGGACAGCCTGTACGTGGAGGAGGTGGACGTGGGGGAGGAGGAGGGCGACCTGCTGGTATAATGGACATCCCTCTCGTCCTCCTTTCTGCTCTCCCGTTTCGCCCTTTCCAGATGTGTGCAGCCTAGCCGAGGGCTTGGAGCTGAGAGTTGGGCGCATTATCAAGGCATGGAAGCACCCCGAGGCGGACAGCCTGTACGTGGAGGAGGTGGACGTGGGGGAGGAGGAGGGCGGCCTGCTGGTATAATGGACATCCCTCTCGTCCTCCTTTCTGCTCTCCCGTTTCGCCCTTTCCAGATGTGTGCAGCCTAGCCGAGGGCTTGGAGCTGAGAGTTGGGCGCATTATCAAGGCATGGAAGCACCCCGAGGCGGACAGCCTGTACGTGGAGGAGGTGGATGTGGGGGAGGAGGGCGGCCCGCGCACTATTTGCAGCGGCCTCGTGAAATACGTTGCTGAGGAGGACATGCAGGTGAGGAGGACATGCAGGTGAGGATAAAGCATGAGGAAATAAGGAATAGCGAACAGCCTGATTGTGCTCACAGGAGATAAGGAGGAATCAGCAGGTGAACGAATAAAGAGGAAATAGCGGATTAGTAAGGATTAGTTCATAAGCAAATCAACAGTAAGGGAAAGGGGTTATCAGACGGATACACACCTCAAGGCAGTGAGTGCCAGGACTGCAAGCAGGTGGGTTCAGTACCACACCAGGACCGTCTCGAAGTGTGCGTGCAAACCTTTGCCACGCAACATCAGGGGTGTAAACAAACCTTTGCCCTCCCCCCATGCCCCTCCTACCACCCAAACAGGATCGTCTGGTGGTGGTCCTTGCGAATCTCAAGCCGCGCAACATGCGGGGCGTCAAGTCCAACGGCATGCTGCTGTCCGCCCATCTGATCAGCATCCCCATCCCCCCGCTTACAGGATCGTCTGGTGGTGGTCCTTGCGAATCTCAAGCCGCGCAACATGCGGGGCGTCAAGTCCAACGGCATGCTTCTGGCAGCTTCGGATGAAAGCCACGAGAACGTGGAGCTCCTCTCGCCGCCTGCTGAATCTGTGCCGGGCGAGCGCGTCTGGTTCGGCGCTGAGGCTGACGGGGCCACACAAGCAGCTGCTGCCACTCCGAACCAGGTGGGTGCAGGGGTGGGGGAGAGGGAAGGGTGGTGTGCTTGTGGTGAATGGAAGGAATTGCTTATGATAGTGCATGAAGGTTGCTTGCGAGAGAGAATGTTGAGTAGTGACAAACAGTGGCCTTCTACTGACGGAAAAGCCACGCTCTGGCTCAAAAAATTGCCACCCCTTTGGTGATGGCATGTTTTGTTACCACCACTCGGCACCATTGTCATCCCCCTTCCCTGCCCTTCCTTCCTCACCACCACCCCCCAGAAACCACTCTGTCATCACTACATTATCATTCCCATACCTTCCCTCTTGTGAGGTGACTCAATAGCAGACTCCAAAGCCACCTACCAGCACACCCCCCCCCCTCCCCCACCGTCTTCCCCCAACCAGCCACTCTGATCACTCATTGTCATTGACATGCCTTCCCTATTTGACATGCCTTCCCTATTTGACATGCCTTCCCTATTTGACATGCCTTCCCTCTTTGACATGCCTTCCTTCTTTGCCATGCCTTCCCTCTTTGCCATGCCTTCCCTCTTTGCCATGCCTTCCCTCTTTGCCATGCCTTCCCTCTTTGACATGCCTTCCCTCTTTGACATGCCTTCCCTCTTTGCCATGCCTTCCCTCTTTGACATGCCTTCCCTCTTTGCCATGCCTTCCCTCTTTGCCATGCCTTCCCTCTTTGACATGCCTTCCCTCTTTGCCATGCCTTCCCTCTTTGCCATGCCTTCCCTCTTTGACATGCCTTCCCTCTTTGCCATGCCTTCCCTCTTTGCCATGCCTTCCCTCTTTGCCATGCCTTCCCTCTTTGCCATGCCTTTCCTCTTTGCCATGCCTTCCCTCTTTGACACGCCTCCCCTCTTTGACACGCCTCCCCTCTTTGACGTGCCTCCCCTCTTTGACATGCCTCCCCTCTTTGACGTGCCTCCCCTCTTTGACGTGCCTCCCCTCTTTGACGTGCCTCCCCTCTTTGACGTGCCTCCCCTCTTTGACGTGCCTCCCCTCTTTGACGTGCCTCCCCTCTTTGACGTGCCTCCCCTCTTTGACGTGCCTCCCCTCTTTGACGTGCTTCCCATGCAGTTGCAAAAGAAGAAGGTGTGGGAGGCGGTGCAATCACAGCTGAAGACGACAGAGGAGTGTGTTGCTACGCTACTGGACAAACCCATGCGGGTGGCAAGCGGTGTCATCACGTGCAAGTCGCTGGCTAAGGCAAATATCGGCTGAAACATAAGCAGGCTGTATGCTAGTTTTGGCTTGATATCTGGTGCTGTTATAAAAAAATAACAGTACAGGAGAAACAGCAACTAAAAAAGTACAGTACTGTCTGGGCACGTTATGTACCAACAAGAAGAGCCTGTCTTCGTAGCTGGTAACCAATAATTTCGACGAAAGGCTTCCCCACTTGATGCTGCAGCATATGATCGTATCAGGTGCTACCTGGTAATCAAACGACGGCCAGGTTAATCCTTCTTCTGGATGGTCCAGGATGGGAGGAGGTTGAAGGCGTCGAAGAGCAACTTGACATGTGTCAAACATATTGTGACACGACCTCAGAGGAGTGCAGTGCAGTCGACATAGCATATCATAGCTCCATAATAGAGCACACTCGATAGGGCAAATACATGGCATGGGAACAAAGGTGAGCAGTCCATGCTAGCCATCGAAGCGAGGGAGGAAAGGGGGGGCAGGTTGGAACAGAAAAATGCAAATGAGACTAGGTGGCAGGTCTGAAATGTCAACTTATACATATTATCTATGTAGAAGTTATAGGCTAGACTGAGGTATGCTTCTAGTGAGTACAACCAACTAGTATTTGTTCTAGGTTTCCACCTCTAGTAATCATTCGTTTCTACGTTAACATGGTATCACGCTTAGGTTAGGATCCCCCCGCCTACCGCTTCCGCCCGTCGCGCCTCCTAGGCCCCGTCGCGCCCCCTAGGCCCCGTCGCGCCCCCCCTGGGCCCCGTCGCGCTCGTTAGGCCCCGTCGCGCCCCCCCTGGGCCCCGTCGTGCCCGCTGGGCCCCGTCGCGCCTCCTAGGCCCCGTCGCGCTCCCCCTGGGCCCCGTCGCGCCCGCTGGGCCCCGTCGCGACCCCTAGGCCCTAACGCGCCCCCGCTGGGCCCCGTTGCGCCTCCTAGGCCCCGTCGCGCCCCCCATGGGCCCCGTCGAGCCCGCTGAGCCCCGTCGTGCCTCCTAGGCATCGTCGCGCCTCCTAAGCCCCGTCGCGTCCCCCCCCTCTGGGCCCCGTCGCGCCCGTTCGGCCCCGTCGCGCCCCTCCTAGGCCCCGTCGCGCCCGCTGGGCCCCCTTCGCGCTTCCTAGGCCCCGTCGCGCCTGCTAGGCCCCATCGCGCCCCCCCTGGGCCCCGTCGCGCCCGTTAGGCCCCGTCGCGGCCCCCCTGGGCCCCGTCGTGCCCGCTGGTCCCCGTCGCGCCTCCTCGGCCCCGTCGCGCCCCCCCCTGGGCCCCGTCGTGCCCGCTGGGCCCCGTCGCGCCCCTTAGGCCCCGTCGCGCCCGCTGGCCCCTGTCGCGCCTGCTGTTAGCGCTCGCCGCTCGGCCTCCTCCTAGTGCCGCCCGGCCTCCTCCTAGTGCCGCCCGGCCCCTTCCTAGCGCCGCCCGGCCTCTCCTCAGCGCTGCCCGGCCCCTCCTCGTGCCCGACCGGCCCCAGCAGCACCAGCCTGGCCCCTCCCAGCACCAGCCCGGCCCCAGAGCACCTGCCCGCCTCCCCTGCTCGGCCTGCCGTGTCCTCTCGGGCCCTGTGTCTTCTGCTCGCCTGCGCTGGGACGCCTAGCTGCTGCCCTACTGGAGAGTGATGCCGCCGTGTCCCCGCGCCGCTGTGCTCCTGTGCCGCTGAGGAGCTGTGCTGCTGTGCCGCTGTGTCGCTGAGGAGCTGTGCCGCTGACCCTGCACGATGGCTGACTTTGTGCCCCGCCTGGACGCTGAGGGCCACGCGGTTGACTTCGCCGCCTGGCTCTCCGATCTCCGCCGCCAGCTTACAGGTCAGCGCCATGATGGCCACTCTCTGGTTGTCCATGCTGATGGCTTGCTCCCCCGTCCCCCTGCACCTACTCCCCTCCCTGCTGACCCCTCCTCTGATGACCGTGAGGCTTTCTCTACTGCTGCGCTGGCCTGTGCGGTCTGGGACTCACGCGATGCAGTAGCTCAGGTTGCTATTAGTCACGCCCTCCCTGTATCTGAGCGCTCGCGTTTTGCTACTGTTGAAACGGCCAAAGCTTATTTAGACGCCGTTATTGCTCGCTATTCCACCCCTGCCTCCGCTTCTGCTGGCCGCTTGCTCTTTCCGATGCTGTTCCCAGACCTGGCTGCCTTCCCTACTGTCGCAGATTTTGCCACTCATTTGCGTGCCCTAGAGACTCGCTATCGCACTGCCAGCACTGGTGCCCAGCTCACTGCGCTCCCCCCTCCTTTCTGCATGACGCTCTATTTTATCGCTATGCGCCTGCCAGACCGCCTCGCTAGTGCTCGCGACCACTTTCTTAGCCAGCACCCGAGTGACCTCACCCTGACCGCCTTTGTCGACACCCTCACTGAGATCGAGACTCGCCAGCGCACTATCGCTCAGTCGAGCGGTGCGCCGGCAGTCTCTATCTTTCACGGCTGTGCCCCATCCCAGTGCACGTTCACTGACGTTTCGGCTGCGGTCGCCACGGCGACCCCTCTTACCGAGACGGCTGCTGCTGTCCACCCGCAGCAGCGCTCGCGTCGCGGTGGCCGTGGCCGCCAGGGAGGTAGGGGTGGCGACGCAGGTGGTAGTGGTCGTGGTGGTGGTGACGGTAGTCCGCCTGAGGGGACTACCACCGGTGGGCAGGAGCAGCAGCCCCAGCAGCAGCAGGACCAGCCCCAGCCGCAGCCGCCGTCCCAGCAGCACCCGCCGCAGCCGTGGGCTCGTCTCCCGCCTGGTTGGCCCGGCACCTCCGGAGGCGGTGGCCGTGGTGGCGGCCCGCGCAGCTTGGCGTCTACCAGCGGCTCCAGTGCTGTGACCTGCCAGTACCAGCTTCAGACCGGGCCTCTCCGCGGCACTCTGTGCCGCCGCCCGCACCCGACCGCCCGCTGTTTCCGCCGCCTCGACGATCTTTTTCGTCGTCGCTTTGGCCCGGCCCCGGACCTCCCTGACTGGCACAGCCTGCTCCGCCAGGGCGTGCCGATCTTTGAGTTAGACATGGATCAGATAGGTGCTGCTTTGCATGCTTTGTATGCTGGCGCTTCTAGTGTTGCTGGATCTTACTACCCTGTGTACTCTAGTTTAGGTGTTTCACCCTTGTGTAGCTTAGCTTCCCCTGCTGCGACAGGCGTAGGACTGCCTAGGTTGCCTAGTCTAGTCGCTGCACCGGCTCCGTCCCCGGCCTCCGCCACTGCGTCGCTGTCCTTCACTCTCGACTCTGGTGCTTCTGCCTGCTTCTTCCGCGACCGTTCCACGCTCACGCCGCTTGCTGCACCTGCTGTTGTCTCTCTCGCTGACCCCTCTGCGGGTCCGGTCGTCGCGCGCAGTTCTACGTCCCTTCCCTGTCCGGCAGTTCCCTCGGGCTCCCTTACTGGCCTCCACGTTCCCTCGTTCTCCAGGAACCTGGTTGGTGTCGGCTGTCTCCAGGACCTCGGCGTCACCACCACGTTCCCCGGGCACGAGCGGTTCGCTGTCTGTTCTGAGGCTGTCTCAGGTTCCCCCCTTGCGACGTTCCCCCGGGAACCGGTGTCCGGTCTGTTTACCCTACACACCGCTTCCCCCCCGGTTGGTGCGTCCTCCCAGGTCGCTGCAGCTTGCTCGTGTCGGTCCCTCACTCACCCCTCCCTTCTCTGGCACCACCGCTTAGGTCACCCTGCTCTCCCGCGTCTGCGTCACATGTCCCAGCACGGTCTTGTCTTAGGTCTCCCCGCGTCGCTCCCTACCCTTCCTCCCTCGACTGCGCCACCGTGCACGCCTTGCGTCGAGGGTCGGCTCCGCCGTGCTCCTCACTCCTCCTCGCTGCGTCCTGCTACTGCCCCCCTTCAGACCCTGCACTTGGACGTTTGGGGCCCTGCCCCCGTCCCCGGACCGCGCGGTGAGCGCTACTTCCTTGTGCTCGTCGACGACTACACGCGCTACACCACGGTGTTTCCCCTGGAGCGGAAGGCCGACGTGCCCGACGTTCTTCTCCCGTGGGTTGTGGCTGCGCGTCTCCACCGCGGTCTCCCCGTGTTGTGTCTCCACTCCGACCGTGGCGGCGAGTTCGCCTCTGGTCGGCTTGGACAGTTCTGTCGTGCGGAGGGCATCACCCAGTCGTACACGTTGCCGGACTCGCCACAGCAGAATGGGGTTGCTGAGCGCCGCATCGGCTTGGTCATGGAGGTGGCTCGTACCTCTATGATCCATGCCGATGCCCCCCATTTTCTGTGGCCGTTCGCTGTTCGCTACGCGGCTCACCAGCTTAACCTGTGGCCACGCTCCCAGCGGCCGCAGGTTTCGCCGACCCTCCTTTGGACCGGGTCCCCCGGTGACGCGTCTGCGTTCCACGTCTGGGGCTGCCTTGCTCACGTTCGTGCCTCTGGCACGGACAAGCTCACTGCCCGCACTGTCCCCTGTGTCTTCCTCGGTTTCCCCCTGGACTCGTCTGACTGGCTTTTCTACCACCCGCCGTCTCACCGCTTCCTCCACTCTCGTGACGTCACCTTTGACGAGTCCGTCTCCTTCTACCGCCGTTTCCCTCACCGAGGTCTCCCAGTTGCCCCCCCCCTTTTCCTTGCTCCCTCTCCCCCGGTAGCCCCTGCCCCTCTCCCGCCTCGTCCTGCCCCGTCTGGTGTCTCCCACGTCACTCCCCTCCCGTCGGTTGTCCCCGTTGAGGAGTCTGCTGACTCTGGTGGTACCCCCAGTCCGTCCTTGCCGCGTCCCCCTTCCCCGGTGCCTCTGCCCCCACTGTCGCAGTCGCCGACCCCGCTGCCGCCGCTGTCGCCATCGCCGCCGCAGCCGTCGCCGCTGTCGTCGCCGCCGCCGCCGCTGTCGCTGCCGCAGCCTTCGCCGCTGTCGCCGCCGCCGCAGCCGTTGCCGCCACTGCCGCCGCTGCTCTCGGCCCCTGGGGGTGCTGGTGTGGAGGAGGGTGTTCGTCCTGCGGCTTCTGGGGGTGCCGCTGGTGTTGGAGGGGGTTCTCGCTCTGGGGGTGTTGGTTCTGGGGGTGCTGCTGTTGAGTGTTCTGCCGACGGTCGTTCTGTTTCTGCTGGTCCGAGAGTTCCGGCCCAGCCGTCGTCGCCGCCGCAGCAGCCGTCGCCGCCGGTTTCCGCTCTCCGCCTGCTCGGCCTTCCCTCCCCGGACCGCGCGCCGGTGTCTCCCCCACCGCCTCCTGACCTTCCTGTCTACAGTCCTGTGTTCCCGCCGCCAGACTCGTCTCCGGCCCGTCTTCCTCCTCGTTCC